TCCTCTCATACTGACCTATTTGTGAAAATTTTGATCAATCAAACTCTCACCTACTCTATCAAGCCTACATTCGAACTCATTTAAACCTTTCTTTTTTCTGGATCCCGATCATCAATCGCCTCTCCACACTCCATCTGCTACCCATGGCCTCCACCTCTACACAAGGCGTCACTTTGCTCATTCAAGTCTGTATCTGCAGTGTGGCATTCTTGGATTTCCGTTCAAGCATAGCTGTGCTCAACAAGCAAACGCTTCCAACAACTCTGTTGAAGGTCTCACTCCTCCAGCAGCTCCTGGAATTCTTCTGAGCTGACCTAGCGCTTCTCCTTCTCATATCACCCTCAACAAACGTGGACACATACAACAAGCTTCTATGCTACTTCTACCTAGATACGAAGAGAAAATTGGTTTTGATGAATCTCCTAAGATAACATTGTCAGGGGGACCTTCATTTCAATTGAAAGTGCATGAAGAAGAGATTCGTTGGTCGTTCACACCAGATGAGGATAGTGTTCTTGCTTTAGTGTTAACGTGAGACTTTTACAAGAATGACACCCAGCTCTGATGATGTCCATCATATGATGAACGAAAGGCTCAGCACGTTTTCACCCGAAACGAGGGAGGAAGTCTCGTGGACTGCGTCAACATTAATATCGTATAAAAGCCAAATGGCTGCAGTACAACGAGTTTTATCCGTCCTCATCTGGTGAGATCGACCAACGAATCTCTTCTTCATGTACTTTCATTTGAAATGAAGGTCTCTCTAACATACTTTTACCTATTCAAGATCACTTTGGGATTCATATACAACTTATACAACCTATACATTATTTCATCGTCTATTAATCCGATCGATTACTTTTAGGTTTAGCCGTACTAATAATCACATTAGTTAGATCGTTTCAGTTAAATTATAAGGGGGCGTACGAATTTTATTGGAGCCGACAGAATTGTTGTTCGCGACCCGTGATGCAAAGCATTTATGGCTTTTCACACCAAAAAAGATGTGCATCTCCGTATATAGACTCTACATTTCATATGGGTATGTTCCGTAGGCTGCTAGAGTGAGCCATTTGCCAAATAAATGGGCAACAACAGCCTGGTTGTCAGGCCCGCTGGTCATTCCTACCGTCTGACCAAGAGGCAAATATGAAAGTGGGCCTACGTCGTGTATGGCCGTAAGCGTCTTGTAGATGTTGCTTCAACGTGGTTGATAAGTGACGGGATTATCACTTAATCTGACTTTAATTTCATGACAGAGTAACTGGTGATGAGCTCCTTATGCCGATATTGGGAGACGAAGATGGCTGATTCTCGTTGTCCTGAAGTCCTTTCGTTTAAACGTGATATTCGGCTTAGCGTAATCCATGGAATATTCTGCTCTGGTTCCAGGGGAAAAGGGTTGTGATATCATCTATCACGCCAGTTGAAATACATTAGGTGACCAAGCAGGCCTTCACGATTGATCAGATCCCTCCGTGGCCCAAAGGCTTCAAAATGCGACTTGGCCAGCACCGAGAAGAGAGAGGACGTGTCCGACCGGCATCGGCTGTGCAACCAAAGCTGAATCAGGCTTCATACAGTAGGGAAGTTGCCATGACAAAAACCACGTGGTAAATGGAGATTGTTACGCCAGGTAGACGATTCCTTTGAAAAGATCCTGTTGTATAGCCCAATTTGGGGTCTCGGCGGACCAAATGATTTAGGCTCAACCGAAATGACTTTACGATTGACGGAGTTGAGACCTATTCTCAGAACCTGAAAAACGGGAATATCCTTTTAACGGATTCATCATAAGAGTTGTCTGTTCACTTTTGTTGTGTACCATATAAAATTGGCTTTCGAACAAGCTCTTGACTTACAATCGTTGAGTCACGGCAATTTTGGGGAAAGGCGTGTGTTGAAAGGCGGTTTGATGGATGGTCTCACCAGAAGACGTCGATTGATCCCCGTCGGCCAGACGTCGTTTGGCCTATCTGGAACTTTAGTCGTTAGACAGACGTCCTCGATGAAGAGTATCATTCTTTTGACTAGTTTAGGGTTAATAAACTGAGAAACTGGCCATTAGAAAGAATGGTCTCAAACGGTCCAGTTTGCTGAATATGCTATTTCTGCACCTAAGCACACAATTTGGGAGGTCATCGAATCTAACAGATTAGGCAATTCAATGCATCGAATAGGTTCGACTTTGCGTTCAGGTTGCTGATGAGACGAGCTCAAGTGAAGTCGAAACCTGGGTCCTGTCTAGCCGGGTTGGGAATATCTTTTGGGAGGCAACGACACGTGTAATTCACCGGCACCATGAGGCCCAACTATCCACAGTTCATAAGACAGTGAATTCCAGCAATATCGGTAAGAAGTCGACTGAGAATGGCTTAGATACTTTAAATAGAGAAGATGATAAGCCGCTTGGGAAACCGAGGCAACAAAAATATTCTTTAGTAGGTCTTGGCTCTAATAACTTTCACACACGCACACACACACACGATGCCTGACAATTGAAACAGACGTGTGTCCGATATTATCCCATCGGAGTTTAGATTTAAAATATCTAATAAGTACGAATTAAAAAAATAGCATTAAAAGTTAGTGACTATATTCCAGTTACTTAAAATATCACCAAGGGCAAACCTATAGATGCACATGCTTCTAGATTGAAATATGGTATAAATTAAACAAATCACTTTACAGCTCATATAAAAGCGTAGGTTTATGATGTATATTATACACACATCATGTCGGAATGAACGGATGGGTTCTCTCAATTCATTGACTTGAATATGGTTGCAAGATGATAAGCAGCTTTGAGGATGTCAAAAAGTGGGACAAACAGTGGGCAAGTTATCACCGGAAAAGAAGGAAATTGCAATGAGGACAGCCTAAACCAGAAATGTGCAGTACTGCCAAAGGGCAGTCGGTCGCAAGGAGTCTGCCGTCAACTTCGTCGTCTTCGTCGTCTGACCGGATTGACCTTCGAAAGTCTTGTCACACACTCCTTCGCTTGAAATGAAAGTGAGTTGTAATACGTGAATTGTTTGCCTGATTGAGCGGCAAGCTTGAAATTCAGATTGAGGCCCAGCAACATCGCAGACACAGTTGGATCCCGTTTTATTTGAATGCAACCCTTCGAGGCGTCAAGTCGAGCGGAATGCATCGTGAGTCACCCCGTTTTGGTATACTCCCTGTCCGACCGGCGCCACTTGCCCGCCACGAGGGAGGCGGTTGGCAGCACTTAAGCAACTAGCACTCCTCAGAGTCTTGGTCACTTTTGGCCTTTTCTGGTGGCCGCAGGGGCTCTGGCCATATTTGCTTCATTCATGACCAATTTGACCTCGGCTTGTGTGGGAGGAGCCTCAGATACCGAATGGCCTGTTGGCCGAATCCGATGAAATGCCCATTTTATGCCGCCATCGGCAGCAGATGCTTTATCGCTCCGCCCATCCGGCCTGGCGAAAGCGCACCTTCCAACCAGGTCTCGACCATGCCTTCTACACCGATCTTCTTGAGGCACTGCTTCAGTCTGTTGGCTGAACTTAATCACGAAGACTGAGAGGACAGTCGTAAAGAGTCTAACTGGCCCGATCGTCAGCTGTATGGAGCACGTGTTTAAGTTCTGTCGAATCTGTGCTCCGCCAAAGAGCATTCGAGGCGAGACGAAGCGAGGCGAGGCATCCATTTGGATTCGCCGAACGCAGAATCGAAACCAAAACTGCCTCTCACCTCGAAGAGGGCGCTGCCAATTTTGCTCTTCTTGATCACCGTCTCGCCAGGGCTTCCTCTGCCCCCGGGCAGACTGCCGTCTTCAGGGGGTACCACAGATCGCTTGGATTGACCACAACCCCTCGCTTCGCAACATTTACACTCGGTGCATCCAGCGTCTTCACGAGTTCCCGTTCCAGTCCAGACGTCAAAGCCACACGAGGTCATGCACTCCCTTTTCACTCTTGCCAGCCGCTCCAACGAGACCCAAGTCGGACTCGAAATGGACAATGAAGTCGGTGCTATTAAAGCCTTTTTGAGACTCAAGCAAAAGCCATTCAAGGGAGTCCTGATGGACTGTCCAGTCCATTTCATTCCACCCAATCAACTCGCTTTTTCCAGTCCACGGTGGGCCTCGAATAAGAACTTGACCCAGTTTTGGTCATCGATGCTGAGGGGAGAATTGATAATTGAGCCTCTCGAAATGACTCCAAACAGATGTCCCTTGCAGGCTGGACTGCAAGCTCGACCTCGTCTGGATCGAATCTGCATCCGCGACAGCATTCGAAATGGGGTCTTGCACGAAAAGAGGCGACATGTAACCATTCCGCCATGTATCCCCGGGCG